GGCCTCTGGGGTCTCTCGCCGGGCCTCGGGAGCGTCAAAAAACGATTCAGGACGAAAAACCGGTCCCGGGGAAGTGGTCCGGACCTCCTGGGTCCACGCACCACAAAAATTGGAGCAGCCGGATGTCTGGGACCGGGAGCGCGGCCACGCCAGGTGGTGGACTGCGGGTTCCCCGAGCTGTTGGGGAGGCCACTGCGGGAGCACCTGGGGAGGGGCGCTCCAGGGACGTCTTGGGGCTGTCTTGGGTTTTTTTTCATGGCCCTGTGGGGCCTCTTCCTGGGGGCCTCTGGGTTCCTCTTGGGGCTCCCTGGGGCCGTCGGAGGGCGTTCTTAGGCCGTCTGGCACCCTCGGGGGGTGTCCTGAGGGCTTCCCTGGGCCGTCTTGGGGCTCCCCGGGGGCCCTTCTGGGTCGTCTTGCGTCTCCAAGGCCCTCCTGGGGGACCTCTTGGAGCCTTCTTCGGGCCTCCGGGGGTGGCCTCTTGGCCCGTCTCGAGGCCATCTTGGGCCGTCGCCTGGGACAGCCTTGGGTCCTCTTTGAGGTACCCTGAATCTACTTGGAGGCTACCGGGGCCATCTTGAACCGACTTGATTGGGCGTTGCGTAATGGGGGGGTCATAAATGGGGGGTTGGTGAGGGTGGTCCGAAAAGGTACCCAAACGGTACCTAAACGAGCCCCCTGGGGGTCCAGAGGGGCCCGAAAGGGGCACGAAAGGGGACCGTTTCTGACCCCCCCATTGATGACCCCCCCATCAAGCCACGCCCAACTTGATGACGACCGAGGCCTACTTGGACGGCCACCTGGAAAGCCGATGGGAGATGTCTTTTCCGCTTGGCCGGCGGGTTGGGCCTGAGGCTACTGGGAACATCTTGGAAGGGCCCACCAGAGGTATAGCAGCCGTCATGCCAAGCACCCCTCCAGCACGCCACGGGGCGCTGGATCTAGTGGCCTCTGGTCCATCTTGCCACAGCGCCTGGGTCGGGGATAAGAGGCGTCTTCGAGGCTTCCAGGAGACTCTGGGAAGTCCTCTTCGGGCCTCTCGGAGGCCTCTTCGGGAGCTAAGCTCGGCCACCTGGGGGCCTCTCGGGGGCCTCCTGGTGACACCTTGCGGGCCTCAAGGACTCTGGGACCCCCTTGGGGGGTGATCTCGGGAACCATCTTAGGGTGCAGGTCACCAGACAAAACCTTCGAGTTCCCCATCTGGGGCCCCTTTTGGGGGCCTCTGAGGGGGCCTCTTGGGCCTCTTTTGGGGCACTTCTTGGGGCTCTCTTCGGGATCTCTTGGGTTGTCTTGGACGCTCTGGAGACCGAAAACGCCATTTTGCCAACATATATAAAAAACAATGCTCTTCGTGCTTTGGGTTTTGCAGCCTGTTCGCAACATGCCTCCTGCTTTCTCCCTCTCGCCCTCTCCCCCTCCCTCCTGGGCAATCCATTAGAGGTTACCGATGCGCTTCTGGCGCTCTCGATGGCACTTCTGGAGCAGATTTCGCTAGCCGCTCCGGCACCGGGGGAAGTTCGCTCGCAGTATGCTCTGTCGATCCTCTTTTCGCTCGCCTGGGCAAGCACTGCTTGGCTGACTCGCTGCCCACTCCCTGTTATCCGTTCCCTCCTCCTCCTCCTCCTCCTCCTCCTCCTCCTCCTCCTCTTGCTCCTCCTCCTCCTCCTCCTTCCTCCGCTGCCACCACCTCCTCCTCCTCCTCCTCCTCCTCCTCCTCCTCCTCCTCCTCCTCCTCCTCCTTCCTCCGCTGCCACCACCACCTCCTCCTCCGCCCTTTTCCCCTGGTGCCCCCCGGGGATGTGCGAGTCTGCCCGGGGACCCACGGCGCTCAGGCACGGGACCTTTTGTGGGGGCCCGCGCCGCGGCGGCCTGCGCAGGCCTGCCCGGCTCCGCTGCGGTGGCCACGCCCGTGTTGGTTTGTCTGCGCTGGCCAGGGCCACGAAGGACTGCAACGGGGCCACGAAGGGGAGCGAGGGGGCCACGAAGGGCTGCAACGAGGCCACGAAGGGCCGGAACGGGGCCACGAAGGGCAGCAATGGGGGCCACGAAGGGCTGCAACGGGGCCACGAAAGAAAGAGCGAGGGGGCCACGGAGGGCTGGCTTGTCACCACCCACCAAACCAGCCCAACCCAACCCGAATGCCCCGAGTGGCCTTCCAGTTCCTCCATTTCCAGTGGGGTGGGGGGGGGTCGGGGAACATGGAAAAAACACAGCATGGGACCCGTACCCCCCCCCAGCCCGAAATTCGGGCGAACATCGGGCCTTTGGGTTGGGTTGGGGTGGTTTGGTAGGTAGTCGTGTTGGCAGGCGATTCCGGGCTTGATTCGTGCATGCAGTTGGGCACGATTGGCATGCTCGCGAGAAGAGAGCAGCGGCCCAAGAGGCCTCCCGAAGATCCCCAGGAAGGTCCCCTTGGGGCCATCGCAGGCCACTCGGGAAGTGTGCCTCCCACGCGTTGCCGAGCACTTCTGCTCTGCGGTCGCGAACTCGCTGTTGGGTCCAAAAGAAAAACGAGCTCCCAGCGCTGGGCGCTCCGGGAGCGCGCGCGCCCAGCAGTCCACAGAGCCCCGGGGGTCTGGTCCCTTCCAGGAGGGGAAAACACACACACAGACACAATGAATCGTCGATCCCGAGGAAAATTTGGAAGACTATGGGAAGTGGGGGGGAGGACGAAAATCCAAAAATATGGGAAAATATGGGGAAACCGGGTATTTGTGTGTATTTATTTGTGTGTCCCAGGGCCCCTTCGCCCTTGTCATTTTCACAGTCCTCGGAGCAGAGAGCTCGGACGGGGGGCCGACGCCGCTCCGCCTCGGTGCCTCAAGAAGGATCGGTGCTGCCTTCCCTTCCGGGCCAGGCGGGCATGCACCGATCGTGGCACCAGGGTGGGCCCGGCCAGGATCGGTGTGTGTGTGTGTGTGTGTATGTGTGTGTTCGGGGGCGGAAAAGAGGGGGGTGATGACTAGGGGGGGGTGGATATCATGGCGCGGGCCATGATATTTCCCCAGATTTCGTGGCGCCTCTTCTTGTTTTATTACGTCCCAGGCCCCCCAGCTGGGCCGCGCACATGCCGCCGGTCATGATTTGCGCCCCCCCCTCTTGGACACCCCCCTCTTTGCCGCTCCCGAGTGTGTGTGTGTGTGTGTGCTTCGCGTCCTCCTGCTCCGAGGAGGGCGCGGGGCATCTCAGCAGCACCCCCGCCTTCTGCGAGCCGAGCCCCTCTGAGAAGCCCTCTGCCCTCGCAGACGGTAGCCCCCCTCGCCCCGAGATTTCTCCCCTCTGGCGCGCAACGGCGTTACCCGGGCCAGCCGCCCCCCCCCCCCCCCCCCAGGTAACAGTAACGATCGTGTGTAGGAGGGTGCTTGGTCCCCTCCCCACATGCTGGTGCTCGCGCGCGTACCACGGCGATCGCAGCGCACCCCAACCTCGACGTGCCCCACCCCGCCCGAGCGTTAGCGTTACCTGGGGCCCCAGCCCCCCGCCCCCCCCCGGTAACGACCGCTAGCGGAAATACTTCGGAGGGACGCCAACAATACACACCCACCAGCCTTGGCCAGGTCCACTCTGGGCCCTGGACTGGGGCATAGACCTCCAGGCCCAGGCCAGGAGGGCCTGTACACTTAGTCCAGGGCCAAGGATGGGCCTGGCCAGGGATGCTAGTGGCGAATTGTTTGGAGCTCGCCTACTACTAATGATCATAGTAATACTAATTCTATGAAGTATACTACCACTACGACTACTACTACTACTACTACTACTACTACGACTACTACTACTACTACTACTACTACTACTACCACCACCACCACCACCACCACCACCACTACTACTACTACTACTACTACTACTACTACTACTACTACTACTGCTACTGCTACTACTGCTACGACTACTACTACTACTACTACTACTACTGCTTCTACTACTACGACTACCACTATTACCTACTACTACCACTACTACCATTACCATTACTGCTGCTATTACTACTACTGCTACTACTACTACTACGACGACGACTACTACTACTACTACTACTACTACTAGTACTGCCACTACTACTACTACTACTACTACTACTACTGCTACGACTACTTACTACTACTACTACTACTACGTACTACTTTCTACATACTACTACTACTACTACTACTACTACTACGATACCTTGACGAAAACCCCCCCCCTTACTACTACGACTACTACTACCAATACTACTAACTACTACTACTACTACTACTACACCACTACGACTACTACTACTACTACTCACTACGTACTACTACTACTACGTACTACTATTACTACTGACTACTACTTCTACTACGACGACTACTACTACTACTACTACTATCACTAGTAGTACTACTACTACTACTACTACTACTACTACTACTACTACTACTACTACTACTACTACTACTACTACTACTACTACTACTACTACTCACTACTACTACTACTACTACTACTACTACTACTACTACTACTACTACTACTACTACTACTACTACTACTACTACTGCTACGACTACTACTACTACTACTACTACTACTACTACTGAAACTGTTACTATCACTAGTACTACCACCTTTACTACTACTACCACTGCCACTACTACTACTACTACCACTACGTAAAAAAAAAACACTACTACTACTAACTAATAAATACTATACTACTACTACTACTACTACTACTACTACTCTACTACTCCTGCTACTACTACTACTACTACTACTACTACTACTACTACTACTACGACTACTACTACTACTACTACTACTACTACTACTACTACTACTACTACTACTACTACTACTACTACTACTACTACTACTATGCATTGTATCAACATTAATCATCGGATTCAGTCTCACCACCCCGCGAGCCCTTCTTTGAAGCCTCCGAGCCCTTCCCGAGGAGCCGCCCCTGCCTTCTTCTCAGAAGACCGCCCCCTTCGCCCCGCCCACCGCGGCGCGCCGCCCGCGTCTTCTGGGAGGCTCGAGGGCGAGGTGCTCCGGGCACTCGCCGCTCGCTCGGGCACGGTGGTCGCGGCCGTCGGCGGCGGAGAGGACTGCGTGCGCCCCGGGCTGTGCCTGGTCACGTACCCGGGGCCTCCCGCGCACCAGGACTCGTCGAATATGGCTGTCAGGGGTGAAGCCCCAGCCATGGTCGCGTCGTAAAAAATCAGGGCGGGAGTTTTTTTGCTATTTTCGGCCTCGGGGGGCCCTCGCCGAGCCTCGGGATTCTCAAAAAACGGCTCAGGACGAATAACCGGTCCTGGGGAAAGGGTCGGGCCTTCCGGGGACGTCGCATGTCTGGGGCTGGAGTAGTGAGGACAGATGGGGGTCCAGAGCGAGCGCAGCAGCACCTGCAGTAGTTCTTGCACGGATGCAGCAGCCTGCGGACTGGACGCCAGAGTTGCGCGTCGATGCAAGCGTATGTTCTTCTTTCAAGCGCAATAGTTTTTTGCACCCCTCGCAGTAGTTCGTGGCCCCCCTGTAGTAGTTCCCCCAAGAGTTCGTGCAGTAGTTCGCGCAAGCGAGCTGATGCACCTGCCACCGCCCCCCCATTGGCTTAAGTCGGGCCTGCCCCTCTACAGGAGGAATGTTCAAAAGCAGTCCCAATCCATATTCCTCTTTCTATATTTTTACAAGCCCGGGCGGGGGGAAAACCCGTCCCCCCCCCAAAACCGGACTCCGGGGATCTGGGGCTTTGGGACCCTTCGGACGGGCCTCGAAGCGGCCCCTGGGCCTCGCAGGGCGTTTTGCCAAGCCTTCCCAGCACACCTAGGGCGATCAGGGGGGTTCATCGGAGACGTCCCAGAGACCCCCAAGACAGCACAAGAGCGCTCCAAGAGTGACCGACGTGACCTCAAGATGGCCCAGGAGGCCTCCAGGACGGCCCCGAAGAGGCCTCCAAGAGCACTCCCAAGAACGCCCCCCGAGGCAAAAATCATTGATTTTCTGTTGGTTTTTGGTGAATGTTGGGGTTCTTCTCTTTTCGGCTTCCGACGCTCCAAGACGGTGGTCTTCTGGGCGTCCGAAGCCGCCTGTGAGGCTCCAAAATCGCCCCACCACCATCCGAAAGGGCTTCCAGGCAGTCCAAGAGAGCCCCAAAACGGCACAACACGGGTCCAAGATGGCCCTCAGCGAGCCCCATGACGGCCCAAGACGGCCCAAAGACATCCTCCGAAGCATTCCAAATCCTGACCTGGTCGTTCAGGGAGACCGCGGTTGCAGGCAGGGTGGCCCGAGGAAGCCCCTGGAGGCCCCCAGGATACGCCCAGGAGGCCTCCAGAAGGCCTTAAGAAAGCCTGAAACAACTTTCGTGAGGCCCCCAGAGGCTCTCCAAGGAGGAGCCTCCGCAAAAAAGAGCTGAGGAGGATGGGGAGAATGCGCAGGGTGTGGCGAACATAAGGAAAAAAAAACATGGAGGAAGGATAACGCATAACATTATTATAGCGGCGATGCCAGAAAAGGCAACAAAGCGTTATCGCTAACTTGTCAGCTTGACCTTCCTGCTATTCCGCCTGCGTACCAAACTTCAAGGACCAAGGTGCATGGCGCGAAGCGCCATTGCAGTCTTGTATGTATGTATGTATGTATGTATGCATGCATGTATGTATGCATGCATGTATGTATGTATGTATGTATGTATGTATGTATGTATGTATGTATGTATGTATGTATGTATGTATGTACGCATGCATGCATGCATGCATGTATGTATGTATGTATGTATGTATGTATGTATATATATATATATATATATATATATATAGGTAAATACATCAATCACTCAATACATGTACATACTATTTTTGATCATCTTGGAATCTTTTCGGACTGTTCTTTATTTTTCGCCCAGAATCTGCCTTTAGGGTGACATGCCCGACCTATAAGCATCGGCGTTGCCCCCATCGCTCCAATCAGGAACAAATGGCTTGGTGGCGGGCGGAGGGGGCGAGTGGAGTGCAAGCTGCACAGGCAGCAGCGGGAGCAGGAGCGGCCCCGGAGCCGCAGCCGTTTTTGTCCCGCGGACTGTAGCCCATAGCCTTGGCCACCAGGAAAGATGGAATTTCGAGCACCAAGAAGAATCCCTAAACCTGAAGATTTTCGCGTGTCGAGCTCTGGGAGGCGATACTCGTTCAACACAGGACTTTGGATTAACGTAGTGTGTGTGTGTGTGCGCGTAAAACGACTGTTCAAACGTAACAGTAATTGATGTGCGGCAATGGGGATGATAAAGTAACCTACCTCATCGTTTTCACAATTACATACATCTGGGAAATTATTTCCGAATTAATTTCCGTTACATTCCATAAATTCAATTGAAGCTGATATGTAACCTAGGATTTCGAAAGAGGTCTAGAGGAGAACATCGTTTTCGTTTGGTGACGGGGGTTCTACATCTTTTCATTGGACTCCTGAGTCCAGATTCCAAGTTCGGATCCGATCGAAATTAATTAATTAATTAATTAATTAATTGATTTCCGGATTCCTGGCAGAAAGGACGGTGATACAAAATTATAGAATAGCAGCGAAGGTGAGCAGAGGAGAGGAGGAGAACAGAAGATAGAAGAACGGTTGAAACAAGAACAACAGGACAGCAGCAGAGCAGTGGGGGAGAAGAGAAAATGCTTCATTGATGGGGGTGGCAGTGCCGCGACCCACGCCGATGGTATCAGCCCTCGTAGCCAGAACGCCTCAGCGTGGTCCTGAATTGATTCCTGAATTGCATGGATTCCTGAATTGATTCCTGAATTGATTTCTGAATTGATTCCTGAATTGATTCCTGAATTGATTCCTGAATAGGAGTGTACAAAATCGAGGCTGGAGCGTTTTCTCGGGTTGCCCAGAAATTCTCCCGAGAAGGTCCCCCAGGAAAGGTGCCTTCAATTCCTGAATTGATTCCTGAATGATTCCTGAATTGATTCTTGAATTGATTCGAGAATTTTTATTCCTGAATTATTCCTGAATGATTCCTGAATTGGATGGACATTCCCGGAATTCCTGGCATGCACCTCCTGGGTCCATTCCTGAATTGATTCCTGAATGGATTCCTGAATGGATTCCTGAATTGATTCCTGAATTAGAGCGTGAAAAATCGAGTCCGAAGTTTTTTTTATCCCAATTCCTGAATTCATTCCTGAATTGATTCCTGAATTGATTCTTGAATGTGCACCTGGATTGGAGCCTCGCGGCGCTGGAGCGTTAACCCATTTCTGCGTTAATTTTTTCATTCATTAATTCATTCATTACTTAATTGCCTATGATTAAGTAATGCATTAAGTAATTAATTACTTAATTAATTGATTAATTAATTAATGAATTAATTCATTTAATAATTAAGTAATTCAGTAATTAATTAATTGATTGATTAATTAATTAATTCAATAATTAATTAATTAATCAATCAATCAATCGATTAATCAATCAATCAATTAATTAATTAATTAATTAATTAATTAATTAATTGATTAATTATTGATCTAATAATTAATTAACAAATTAAATAATTAATTAATGCATCCCGGGCCGGCCCCCGCGTCGGCACCTGAGCCGAAACCGGCGCCGGCGCCGGCTCCAGCCGGCGCCGGAAAAATTAATTCCGAGGCGCGCCCGGGAAGCCTTCCGGGCCAATTCCGGCACCCGGACCGGCGCTCGAGCCGGACGCCCGGGCCGGCGCCCGGGGTGGCGCCCGGGGCGGATCCGGCGCCGGCGCCGGCAATGAATCCGAGGCCGTGCCGACAAAAGGCCACTCCAATACACATTTTTCTTCCGAAAGTGCTGAATTTCTGCTCCCGGCGCCCGGGAAGCCTTCCGGGCCAATTCCGGCACCCGGGCCGGCGCTCGAGCCGGACCCCCAGGCGGCGCCTGGGCCGGCGCCTGAGCCGAATCCGGCGCCGGCGCCGGCTCCGGCCGGCGCCAGAAAATTGAATTCCGAGGCCGTGCCCAAAAAGGCCACTCCAATAAACATTTTTCTTTCGAAAGTGCTGAATTTCTGCTCCCGGCGCCCGGGAGGCCTTCCAGGCCGATTCCGGCACCCGGGCGGGCGCTCGAGCCGGACGCCCAGGCCGGCGCTCGGGCCGGCGCCTGAGCCGAATCCGGCGCCGGCGCCGGCTCCGGCCGGCGCCGGAAATTGAATTCCGAGGCCGTGCCGGAAAAAGGTCACTCCAATATACATTTTTCATTCGAAAGTGCTGAATTTCTGCTCCTGGCGCTTGGGAGGCCTTCTGGGCCGATTCCGGCACCCGGGCCAGCGCTCGAGCTGGACGCCCAGACCGGCGCCCGGGCCGGCGCCTGAGCCGCATCCGGCGCCGGCGCCGGCCCAGGCCGGCCCCGGAAAATTGAATTCCGAGGCTGTGCCGGAAAAAGGCCACTCCCATACACATTTTTCTTTTTGAAAATGTTGAATTTCTGCTCCCGGCGCCCGGGAAGCCTTCCGGGCCGATTCCGGCACCCAGGCCGGCCCCCGCGTCGGCACCTGAGCCGAAACCGGCGCCGGCGCCGGCTCCAGCCGGCGCCGGAAAAATTAATTCCGAGGCGCGCCCGGGAAGCCTTCCGGGCCAATTCCGGCACCCGGACCGGCGCTCGAGCCGGACGCCCGGGCCGGCGCCCGGGGTGGCGCCCGGGGCGGATCCGGCGCCGGCGCCGGCAATGAATCCGAGGCCGTGCCGACAAAAGGCCACTCCAATACACATTTTTCTTCCGAAAGTGCTGAATTTCTGCTCCCGGCGCCCGGGAAGCCTTCCGGGCCAATTCCGGCACCCGGGCCGGCGCTCGAGCCGGACCCCCAGGCCGGCGCCTGGGCCGGCGCCTGAGCCGAATCCGGCGCCGGCGCCGGCTCCGGCCGGCGCCAGAAAATTGAATTCCGAGGCCGTGCCCAAAAAGGCCACTCCAATAAACATTTTTCTTTCGAAAGTGCTGAATTTCTGCTCCCGGCGCCCGGGAGGCCTTCCAGGCCGATTCCGGCACCCGGGCGGGCGCTCGAGCCGGACGCCCAGGCCGGCGCTCGGGCCGGCGCCTGAGCCGAATCCGGCGCCGGCGCCGGCTCCGGCCGGCGCCGGAAATTGAATTCCGAGGCCGTGCCGGAAAAAGGTCACTCCAATATACATTTTTCATTCGAAAGTGCTGAATTTCTGCTCCTGGCGCTTGGGAGGCCTTCTGGGCCGATTCCGGCACCCGGGCCAGCGCTCGAGCTGGACGCCCAGACCGGCGCCCGGGCCGGCGCCTGAGCCGCATCCGGCGCCGGCGCCGGCCCAGGCCGGCCCCGGAAAATTGAATTCCGAGGCTGTGCCGGAAAAAGGCCACTCCCATACACATTTTTCTTTTTGAAAATGTTGAATTTCTGCTCCCGGCGCCCGGGAAGCCTTCCGGGCCGATTCCGGCACCCAGGCCGGCGCTCGAGCTGGACCCCCAGGCCGGCGCCCGGGCCAGCGCCTGAGCCGAATCCGGAGCCGGCGCCGGCTCCGGCCGGCGCCGGAAAATTGAATTCCGAGGCCGTGCCGGAAAAAGGCCACTCCAATACACATTTTTTGTTTGAAAATGCTAAATTTTCTGCTCCCGGCGCCCGGGAAGGCTTCCGGGCCGATTCCGGCACCCGGGCCGGCGCTCGAGCCGGACGCCCGAGCTGGCGCCGGATCCGGCGCCGGCGCCCGAGCCGGCGCCCGGGTCGAGTCCGGCTCCGGCGCCGGCTCTGGCCGGCGCCGGAAAATTGAATTCCGAGGGGTTGCCGAAAAGCGGCCACTCCAATACACATTTTTCTTTCGACAATGCAAACTTCTGCTCCAAGCGCTTTGGGCTGCTGCGTCTCAAGGATAGGTCGAGCAGACATTAAAGGAGGTAAAAGCAAGCACACGAACGCTATGGACGCGCGATGAGCTGCCACAAGCCAGCTTCCCGCCAGATCGGTCCAGAGTGGGAGGGGACGGAGCTGGGCGGGTGAAGGACCACCAGAGCACTGAGTCACTGCTCCAGCGTTTCCTCAGCCCTAGGTCTGCTGTGGGTTATCCCTGTGGTAACTTTTCTGACACCTAAATATCCATGAATAAATCAATAGACAAACAAGTAAATAATAAATTAATTAATAAATGAATGAATAAATGAATGAATACATAAATAAATAGATACATAAACGTTCGAGAAGCACTTCATATTATTTGTAGTGATGCTTATTGACTGAAGTGTCATCTGATTCTGTTCTCCTGTCCTTCACTGCTTTGTTCTGTTGCATTTACATATCTGTTTGCTTATTTTGAGTTCCTGTTTTCAGTTTACCTTGAGTCATTACAGTGATATTATGCAGTTACATTACGTAAGTTCAAAAATATTTATTAATGCTACGGGAAAGAATGTTACTACTGTTCTGGGTGCCCGAGATTATTTTTGGGATGTGGTCCTCAAGTACGAGGGGAGCACCACAACACTCGAAGAGTATAATATTCCACGAGCATGCACTCTCGGAGGTCCGCGCGCGCTTCTTCTAGCTCTGCGCTGGGCCCCCTGGCGGCGCCTCCGGCGCCGCCCCCGGGGCGCACGTCGCGCGCTCCGCGCGCCAGGGAGTCCACGCGCAGATCCGGGAAGCCCGCGCGGAGCTTCGAACTTCCATGCAACGGGCTTGCGCCGTTCCGCCGACCCCGACCCGAGGAGAAAGCACGTGCGCGGGTGAGGCCTTGCAGGGTCTCTTGGGGTTGTGCGGGGGGGGCGTCTTGCGCGCGTCCTCGGCGCGCCTCGTGACGCCTCGGTGGTTTCGGGTGCCCTTCAAACGCATATGGTAGTTTATGAAAAAAATCCTGGAGGCCTCGCGCGGCGCGCAATAGTTATCTAGTCCACACGTCAGCTCCGTACGCTATGGGTCGACGCTTGCGCGGCGATGTTCCGGCGTCAGTCCGACGTGAATCCGACGTAAATTCCGACGTAGTCCGACGTGAACCTGACGTAAATCTGACGTGCATCCGACGTACATCGGGTCTCAAGCTGCCGCGCGAGGCTTCCAGGACTCTTTCTTCGTAACGCGGTAGTGCCGTTGTTCTCTTCTTCTTCCTCCTCCTCCCCCTCCTCCTCCATCCGCTCCCCCCTCCTCCTCCATCCGCCTCCCCCTCCTCCTCCTGCTCCTCCTCCTCCTCCTCATGCTCCTCATGCTCCTCCTCCTCCTCCTCCTCCTCCTCCTCCTCTGCTTTTTCTTTGTCTTCTTCTTCTTCTTCTTCTGCTTCTTCTTCCTCCCCTCGAGGACCACCCCAGCGAGCTGTGCCTGCGCGGCGGCTGCGGCGAGCCCGTGTTCCTCGACTCGACCCCGGAGGGCGGCCGCGCCGCGGCGGCGGGCGCCTGCGAGGGCTTCGAGCTGATCCGCCTGGAGCGCTGGGAGCGGGCGCCCGCGCCGGGCAGGTGGGTGCCCGACGAGGTCGGCTGCGCTCTCGGAGATCCAACGCAGTTGGGGAAATCGAGACGGAGAGGTTGTTCGCAGAGCTCGGCCCTCGCGGGCCCTCGCCGGGCCTCGGGTCCGCCAGAATGCGGCTGAGGATGAGACACCGGTCCTGGGGAGTGGGTCGAGACTTCGGGAACCCCGCCTTGAAAAAAAAAATGCGACATCGGATCTCAGGGCTTGAGCCCCCAGTAGAGGGCACCCTACGCCTACCCCCCCACAAACTGGGGAGGGGAGGGCGGGGTTCACTTCGCTCGGGAGAGCTCCCCCGAGCGAAGCGAGTGCCACCTCCAGGGTGGTGAACGAAAGCGCAGCGGGGAGGGTTTCCGCAGCCTCCAGTCTCGGGGTGCCCGCGCTGGGGCCCGGGGCCGTCCACGGAAGAGGACTCGGGTCGCGGTGCTGGTGCCGGGGCTCAAGGGTCGGGACTTCCGTGGGCCCCGTGCGGAAAAAAGAAAAGCACAAGACACCAGGGGCCACATGCGAACCCTACCCCTACCCCCCACGATTTCCGAGGGGGAGGGTGGGGCTCACTTCGCTCGAGGGCTCCTCAGCGAAGTGACCCCCCCCCCCCTCAGAAATCGCGGGGGGTAGGGGTAGGGTTCGCATGTGGCCCCCTAAAGACGCTGGAGAGGCCGGGGTCGGAGGGGCCCGCCCCGGAGTGGCCTCTGGGGCGTGGCTTCCGCGGTGGGCGCGGGGGTGCGGGGGCGGGGGCGAGCCTGCCGGCGCGCAGGCCGCCTCGGCCGCACGGCACGCACCGGCCGGCACGCCGCGCACCACGAGCCACTCTTGCCCGGCCCTGAGATCCGACGTCATGCAAGAGCTGCTGAGTTGTAGAAAGTTTGTTTTTGTTTTGTTTTGTGTTTTTCTGTATATATTGCTATAACTTATATCAATATATACATATATAACATGTGTGTATATATATACACACAATCTATATATATAGACATATTATATCATAGATTATATATAAAGAAAAAAGAAAGTTGGATTGATTTGAGAGGGCCCTGGGGCCCGAAGCAAGACAACACCGGCCGCTGTGGAACAGCTGCGACGCTACGGTCTCGGGGAGGGCCACCTCTCGCGCGCAGCCGGCGAGGGCTTCCGCGAGCTGGGGCCGGGCTCGGTCCTGGCGGAGGTGCGCCTCAGGCTGCCGGCGCGGCTGCTGCTGAGGAGCCCGCTGCACGACCTGCCGCCGTTCCCAGAGCGCCGGCTGGCCGCGAAGCTGGGCCTGAGCCGGATCAGGGAGGCGCACCTGCACCGCCTGCTCGATGAGCTCGGCTCGAGCTGGGCCAGGGAGGACGTGAGGACCTGTCGGGCGGAGAGAGAAATCAGGGGCAGCGATAGAGGGGGGGATAGGCTTATGGGGGGTATGCAGCGACCCCCAATTATCCGTTCATCGCCGACAGGGGGCCGATAGCAACAGCCCGCCCATGAATGGGGGGATTTTCCTACCGGGGGACCTATCGCCGATCTATCGGCGAGGTATCGCCGATTCCAGGTCGATGCTTCCCCCCATGTGCCAGTCCCCCCTATCGTTGCCCCTCAAGGAAGAGAGCTGTGCACACGTGGCGCCGATGCCGCTCGGGACTCGGTGTGTGTCTTCCTCCGCGGCCAGGGCAGCGGGGGCGCATGCACCGACTCTGGGCCTGGGGTGAGGCTCGCCATGGTGTGTGTGTGTGTGTGTGTCGTCGTGTCGGTGTTCCAGTGGCCGCCAATGCGCACCAGGCTGCTCGCGTTTCAGTCTACTTCGAGGTGAGTCGTCTCCTCGGTTTCCTGGCCGCTGGACGCTTTGTTTGGACTTGCAGCTCCTCTTTTACACCGCTCATCGCTGCATTGACAGTGTGCACGTTTTGTACACTGTGCCTCCGACAACGTGCGATCGCAATTGGCACTTCCATCTGTGCTGCTCGCGCCTGAGGACCCTCTGCGCCGCCGACTTGAAAAGTGTGTGTGTGTGTGTGTGTGTGTGTGTGTGTGTGTGTGTGTGTGTGTGTGTGTGCGCGTGTGCGCAGTTCTCGTCTCCCGAGCGCTGAAGGCGGACCTCGAGGAACAGCAGGCCGCATAAAGAAGAACTGCTGGAGGCCCGCGTGGGTTCCTCGGGTCGGCGCTGGACCCCGCTCCCTGGCGGCGACTCCGCCAGCAATTACGTTTTCGTTTCGATCCGCGGCCCCAGAGTGAAGGCGGGCGTGTCCCCCTACAGGGGGATTTTCGACGAAGAATAAAAAAGACCACCAAAATATAATCCAAAAATAGTCCAAGCATCGTCAGGGGACTATGTTTTGGGTATTTTTTGCAATTGTTGTAGCATCTTTGGGGGCATTTTTCCTTTTCCGTCGAGAATCCCTTTGTAAGGGGGACACGCCCGACGTAAGCCCAGAGGTCCCGGCCCCTTCTCCAGGGGCTGCCCTGCGCCCGCGATCCATTTGTTGATGGCTTCGGGGCCCGACATCGGGCCCCGACGGCCGACGTCGAGGCAGGGCCGCCCGGAGGAGCGGAAGAATCATGCCGTCTGTGGTCTGGGTCCTCCTCCTCCTCTTCCTCCTCTTCCTCCTCCTCCTCCTCCTCCTCCTCCTCCTCCTCCTCCTCCCCTCGGCGGCGGGAGGCTCGAGCGAGGCGCGGGGCCCCCAAAGCAGGGAGGGCGCCAGCGGCGGGGAGGCTTCCACTGGCGGCTTCCATCCAGGCCTCTCTCTCTCTTTCTCTCTCTCTCTCTCTCTCTCTCTCTCTCGCTCAGGACGGAGGACGAGATGTGTGAGCTGCTGGCCTGCTGCGACGAGCAGCTGCGCGTGACCCGGCCGGTGCGCATCGGCCGCGCCCGGATAGAGGCCGGGTCGCGGGTGCGGCGCGCTGGCTGCGCTGCCGACGGCGCGCTGCGCCAGGGTCTCACGCTGGGCGCCCTGCAGGAGATGCCGCTACCCGCGAAGGCTGGCTGGGATGCCGCTCCTGGGAGGTCAAGTCGGGCGCGTCCCTCTACAGGAGGATATTAAAGAATAGTCCAAACAGTTTTGACCATTTCGGAGTATGTTCAGATGATTTTTTATTCATTGGCTGACGCCGCACCGCCGACCCCTTGGGGCAGCAGTAAGAGTAAAAAACGGAGTTTGCTGAACGATTTCTGGGGAATCTTAGGGTTTCAGCTTCTTTGGATTTCGTCGGGGGCGGTTGGCGGATCGCCGCTCTGCTCTTGGGCTTCACTGGGCTCTCCTGGCAGCACTTTTGAGGCCTCTTGGGAGCCGTTTTGAGGCCTCTAGGAGCAAGAGCCTCTTTTGGGCCTCTCGGGGGCCTCGTGGGAGCCCCTTGGAGACCGATTGGCGCCTCATCAAGTTTTTTTGGGGCCGACAGCTCGAAATGCCCATTCGGGTTCCACCTCTGGGCCTCCTCTTGGGGCCGTCCTGGGGCCCTCCTGGGTCGTTTTGGAAGCTTTTGGGCCGTCTTGGAGCCCTCTTGGGGGCCTCTTGGGCTATCTTGGGTCGATCTTAAAGGCTTCTTGGGCCGTTGTGGGCCCCGTGAAAGCCCAAGAGGCGAATGTGCCAGAAATATACGTTTCCCTAGGGAATGGGACGATTTTTGCTTCTGGAGGGCATCTGGGGACGCCTCTTGGTGGCTTCTTGGGGCGTCTTGGGGGCCTCTGGGACCGTCTGGAGGAGATCTTGGGCGTCTTGGAGCGATCTTTCGGCGACTCGTAGCCCTCTTGGACCTTCCAGGGGGCCTTTTGGGGCCCTCTGGGCCCGTTTTGGGGCCCCTTGAGGCTGCAAGAGTGCGGCTGACACCATTGCCCCCCCCCCCCCCCCCCACACCCTTTCAAACCGGCCAGACCGGGCTCCTGGGGGAGGGTTCTGGGGAGGGGGAAGCATCTCACACGCCGTGACCTCGAGGGGTCGGCGGAGTCTTCGTCCCAAATCCGCTCGTAGGAGGACATGCCCGACCTGATCCTGGGAGGTCAAACTCAGCATCGGCGCTGGTATATCCGTGGTCGAGAGCCGGCCTGATCCAGCACAATTTCGCTTAGGTCCGCTTAGTACCGCCTATTCTGGTCCAGGCATGCCGAAGCCTGGTTTTACCTCTGGGCCAATCTGGCTCAGCGGCCCCTTCATCGTGCTGAGTATCCTTTCGTCGTTCTTGCTAAGACCACCTAGGAGATGCCTCGTAAGGTTGAGTTCATCCGGCTGCGCCAGTTCCAGCGCGCCCTTGAGCGTGCCGGCATCGTCTGGCTGGACAGCTCCCATCGGAGAAGAAACAGCTGCACAGACACACATTTTCGGAGCTCCGCGCGGGTCCCCTTCGATCGGCGCAGGAGCTCCTTGGTAGCGCCCGCCTCCGGCTCCGCCCCTGGCGCCTACCCAACCGTGGGTGGACAGAGCCCCCACCCCGACACGTCGATTGGTGAACTTTCTGTTCTCGGCTCTCGAGAGGGCGCCGCGGCCGTCGTCTTCCAGGCCTGCGCCCGCCAGGTTTGGGCCCGAGGCCGTTTTCACTGAACCACGTTTCTCAAGCAGTGGCGAAGCGTCCTGGCTCGCCTATAGCCCTACCAAACAATGTTCTAAGAACCTTTTCTGGCTTCCACGAAATGTTCTCAGAACATTTCTGGCTGATGTTGTCTTCTTTTAACACATCGGGTTTCTGTTCTAAGAACATTGTTTTTGTTCTTAGAACATTTTTGGATTCCCAGAATATTTCGTGGTATGACTAAAGGAATGCCGGGACGGTCGGTCCCTGCTCAAGTTTTGCTAAAGGGGGTTCTGCCCATCCCCGATCCAGGAACTCCGCGCGGGCCTCCGAGCATCTGTGTGCGGGCCGCTCTCTCTTCTCCTGTCCCAGCAGCTCGAGCTCATGGGCGCGCTCGTGCCGTCCCCCGAGGAGCTCGAGGAGCACGGGGAGGACGCCTGGCGGGCCATGGTCGGGGAGGTGTGGGTCATCGACTCCCGGGGCCTCTTCACCCACATCCCAGATGTTCGTCCTGGGGGCCTTCCTGGGGCCCACCTGACGCATCTGCTCGACTCCAGTTCGACTCTTCTTCGACTCTAGCTCGACTCTAGCTCGATTCAAGTTCGACTCAAGTCGACGGACGTTCGACGCAGCATCGACGCACGGGTGGAGCGAGTGGCTTCAGGAAGGTCCCCAGGACGAGCGTCTGAACCATCCGCACACCCGTCAGCCGCAGAAACGTGTTCGACATCTCGAACGATTTCGAGAGGACCCTGCGCAGGAAGGGCGCCGGCGCGCTGCTGAGCTTCGAGGAGTTCGAGGCCGCTTTCAAGCGGCAGCGGGTGACCTGGCTTGTGCGGGAGCACCTGCAGATCATCTTCGACTTCCTCCGGGGAGCTGCGCCTGGCCTGTCGATGGCGGACTGGCTGACCCCCTTCCAGTGGAGATGCGACGAGGCCGCGTCAGACGTGCAGCTGGCCCTGGAGAAGGACCAGCGGGCAGCCCGCACCCTTCGCAGGAGGAACCGCGTCACGGGCGCCTGGATCGAGTTCCCGGCGCCGCGGCGCAGGGATGACGAGGTCTTCACCTTCCCGAGCTTCGAGAGGAGGCTCCAGGGCGGGCCCACGACGAGGAGACATGGTTCCAGGACGTTCTGGAACGCTCGCAGCGCTCTGGAGCGCTCTGGAACGGTCGCGGCGCCAGATACACCACATCCTCCAGAACCCCTGGACCTCAGAGATTCCCGATCGATCTCGGTCCGATGTTGTCCTGGTCGTGGCCTCGTCTTGAGGCTTTCTGATGTTGGGGTCGACTACCTCACCACGGAGCAGAAGCGGGTGATCTTCGACAGCATCGACGTAGACAAGAGCGGCACCATAACAGCCGACGAGCTGCTGCGGGTGAGAGAGCTGCGGGAGGATCGAAGCAGCCAACACGGCCTACACAAAAAATCTGAGCTCAGCGCGGATTTTTTGCACCTGCGCTGGAACCCCCTCTCTGGCGATGCGGAGCGGCGCCTCAGGCGCCGCAAGGGGAGTCGAGCGCAGGTCCACGATGTCCGCGCAGAGCTCCGACAGTTTACGCTGATGCCGTTTTTGTTTATCTAGAGGAGCGCGAGCGGGTGTTGAGCGAGCTGCTCCAGATGACGGAAGTCAGCATCGCCTAACTGATCCCCATCCCCAGTGGGCCATGGTATCTCTGCGCCACCAGGTCACCCGCCCATGTGGGGATAGGCACCGCGAAGCCCGAAGGGAGCAGCGTACATCTTTCCCCACCGAGGGGGTAAGTCGGCCAGTGGGGCCAAGGCCACGCCAGTGGGGGTAGGGATCGGTCATGCGATGCTCAGGAGGCGGCGGCGGAGGCCAAGCCAGAGCACAGGCGGCAGGACGCTCGGGCGGACGTCAGTCAGCTCGAGGAGCAGGCCGCGGAGGAGCCCGGCGCGGGCGGCGGGGCGCCGGCGGCCGCCCGCTCCAGCTCGCGGCAGGGCGGGGAGGAGGCGGAGGAGAGGCCGGCGGCGGAGGGGCCCGGCGAAGCAAGAGAAGCGGCGGAGGACATCAGCGCAGAGCTCGCCGCCGCCCACGCCGCACAGGAGGGCCAGGCGAGCGGGGAGGAGCAGGCAGCAGCAGTGGAGGGCCCAGGTGCTGGCGCAGCGGAGGCCACAAGCGCCCGCGCCCCCTCGCAAGAGGGCCAGCAGCAGGGCGGAGAGGAGCAGGCCACAGCGGAGGAGCCTGGTACAGGCGGAGCGAAGCCCGCGGCAGCCGAGGAGCCCAGCGCAGGCTCAGAGCTTGCAGCCGCCCACGCCCACGCCGCGGAGGAGGTCCGGGCGGGCGGGGTGGAGCAGGTGGCAGCGGTGGGCCCAGGTGCTGGCGCAGCGGAGCCCACAACCGCTCACGCCCCCTCGCAAGAGGGCCAGCAGCAGGGCGGGGAGGAGCAGGCCACAGCGGAGGAGCTTGGCACAGGCGGAGCGAAGCCCGCGGCAGCCGAGGAACCCAGCGCAGGCGCAGAGCTTGCGGCCGCCCACGCCCACGCCGCGCAGGATGGCCAGGCGAGCGGGGAGGAGCAGGCGGCAGCAGTGGAGGGCCCAGGTGCTGGCGCAGCGGAGGCCACAAGCGCCCGCGCCCCCTCGCAAGAGGGCCAGCAGCAGGGCGGGGAGGAGCAGGCCACAGCGGAGGAGCCTGGTGCAGGCGGAGCGAAGCCCGCGGCAGTAGAGGAACCCAGCGCATGCGCAGAGCTTGGGGCCGCCCACGCCCACGCCGCGCAGGATGGCCAGGCGAGCGGGGAGGAGCAGGCGGCAGCGGTGGGTTCGGGTGCTGTCGAAGCGGAGCCCACAACCGCTCACGCCCCCTCGCAAGAGGGCCAGCAGCAGGGCGGGGAGGAGCAGGCCACGGCAGAGGAGCTTGGCACAGGCGGAGCGAAACCTGCAGCCGAGGAACCCAGCGCAGGCGCAGAGCTTGCGGCCGCCCACGCCCACGCCGCGCAGGATGGCCAGGCGAGCGGGGAGGAGCAGGCGGCAGCGGTGGGTTCGGGTGCTGTCGAAGCGGAGTCCACAACCGCTCACGCCCCCTCGCAAGAGGGCCAGCAGCAGGGCTGGGAGGAGCAGGCCACAGCGGAGGATCTTGGCACAGGCGGAGCGAAACCTGCAGCAGAGGAGCCCAGCGCAGGCTCAGAGCTTGCGGCCGCCCACGCCCACGCCGCTCATGAGGGCCAGGCGAGCGGGGAGGAGCAGGCGGCAGCGGTGGGCCCAGGCGCTGGCGCAGCGGAGCCCGACAGCGGCCATGGCCCGTCGCGAGAGGCCCAGCAGGGCGGGGAGGAACAGGCGGCTGCGGAGGAGCCTGGCGCAGACGCGGGTGAGCCCGCGACGGCCCGTGCCACCACGGCGGAGGGCCAGCGGGATGTGGAGGAGCAAGCGCCAGCGGGAGAGCTTGGTGCAAGTGGAGCGGAGCCCGCGGCAGCAGAAGAGCCTGCCGCAGGCGTAGCCGAGTCCGCGACCGCGCCAGAGGGCTCGCAGGACGGGGCGTGCCCAGCGGCAGTGGAGGACCCCCAGGCAAGCACAGCGGAGCCCGCGGCCGCCCACGACGAGTCTGTGATGGGGCAGCAGGGGAGGGAGGCACAAGCGGCAGCGGAGCAGACGGGCGCAGATGCAGCGGAGCCCACAAATGCTCACGCCTCTTCGTTTGCGGGCCAGCCGGACGAGGAGCAAGCAACAGTGAAGGAGCCCCATGCCAGCGCAGTGGAGCCCGCGACCGCGCACGACACGTCGCCTGATGGCCAACAGAGCGGGGCAGCAGATGAGCCCAGCGCATCCGCAGCGGAGCTCACGACCGCCCACGCCACCTCGCCTGAGGGCCAGCAGATTGCGGACGACCGAGCAGCGGTGGATGAGCTCGGCGTAGTTGCAGTGGAGCCCGCGATTGCCCACGTTAGCTCGCCGGAGGGCCATCAGGACGGTGTGGAGTCAGCAAAGCAGCCCGATGCGAGCGGAGCCGCGCATGACGAGAATCCTGATGGCGCGCATGAGGAGGAGGATGAGGAGGAGCAAGCGGCAGCGAAGGAGCCAGGCGCAGGCGCAGCGGATTTCGGGACAGCCCATGCCACTTTGGAGGATGCGGCATTGGAGGATCCCGACGCAAGTGCAGTGGCGCCCGCGACTGCCCACGCCCCCTCCACGCAGGCCCAGGACGACGAAGCGGAGCGAGCGGCAGCGCAGGACATCGATGCAGGCGCAGCGGAGCCCGCGAGCACCAGCGCCACCGAGCAGCACGGGGAGGCGCGGGCGGCAGCGGTGAACCCAGCCGGCCCCGGCGCAGACGCCGCGGAGCCCACAGCCGCCCGCGCGCCCTCGCAGGAGGGCCGGCAGGGCGGGGAGGAGCGGGCGGCGGCGGGAGACCCGGGCGCGGCCGGAGCGGAGCCGGCGGCCGCGGAGGAGCCCGCTGCGGGCGCGGCGGAGCCCGCGGCTGCCCGCGCCACCGCGCCGGAGGGCCCGCGGGACGCGGAGGAGCCAGCGTCTGCGGGAGCGCCCGCTGCAGGCGGAGGAGGGCCCGCGGCAGCAGAGGAGCCCGCCGCAGGCGCAGCGGAGCCCGCGGCTGCCCGTGCCACGGAGCCCGGCGCGGGTGCCGCGGAGCCCGCGGCCGCCACCGCCAGGGCGCCGGAGGGCCAGGCGGGCGGCGACGGGCAAGCTGCAGCGGCGGAGGGGCCGGGTGCGGTCGCGGATGGGCCCTCGGCCGCAGCCGCCGACTCGCCAGAAGGCCAGCAGGGCGCGGAGGGGCGAGCACTGGCGACAGCGGAGGAGCCCGCCGAAGGCGCAGCGGAGTCCGCGACCGCCCACGCCGCCCTGCAGGAGGTGCAGCAGAAAAGGGGAGCCCTTCCTTCTCCTCCTGCTGCCTCCTCCCCTGCTCCTTGGACTCCCTCCGCATCCCTCTCCTCCCGCCCTCGTCACTCCCTGTCCCCTCCTCCTCCTCCTCCTCCTCCTCCTCCTCCTCCTCCGTCTGGGTCCCAGGCCCCTGGCTCCCTCCCTGCCGTCCTGCCTCCCTCTTACCTCGTCCCCTCTCTCTCTCTCTCCTCCTTTCCCGCCCTCGCCTTCTGCTGGTGGTGGTGGTTTCCTTTCTTCCCTGTCTCCCTCCTCCCTTCTGCCTGCTTCTCTTCCTCGTCCTCCTCCTTGCTCGTCCTCCTCCTCCTACTCCTCCTTCTCCTCCTTCTCTTCCTACTCCCCTCCTCTTCTCCTGCTGAAATGAGCTCTCAAGCTGAATTCAATTTCACACCAGATCGTTGGTTTTGCAGTCTCTCCAGGCGGTCGTTGCTGCAGATATCACTACCGTACTTACACGACCACCCTGCGGGTGATAAGGAGGTTGGGGGGGCCAGCAATGGGCAACAGCGGTGACTGTTGTTCTTACGATGTCTCGGTTGCATGTCGGTTTGCATGTCGACTTTCATTGGATAGCTCGCCGCAGCCACGGCGGGACACCAGCTTGGTCGGGCCGCGGCCTGGCCACAGGAGGATTTTGGGACACCAGCGGGACACCAGCGGGACACCGCGGGCCACCGTTTGCCGGTGGAAAGACTTTTGATCCGGCCGCGGCCCAGCCACAGGAGGATTTCGGGATACCCACGGGACACCAGCGGAACACCGCGGGCCACCATTTGCCGGCAGGAGGATTTCGGGACACCAGCGGGACATTAGCGGGACACCGCGGGCCGCCGGCCGCCGGAGGAGAATCATTTGGTCCGGCCGCGGCCCAGCCACAGGAGGATTTCGGGACACCAGCGGGACACCGGCGGGACACCGCGGGCCACCGGCCGCCGGAGGAGAATCATTTGGCCCAGCCGCGGCCCAGCGAAAAGTGGATTTCCTCTCGCCCGCCCACGCAGCTTCGCCTCGCCCGCACGCACGCACGCACGGCACGCACGATCCGACTCGAAAGCGAAACCGATTTCCCGGTAGGGGGGGTCCCTTTTCACGTCGGACTCACCCCCCCACCTCCGATTCTATACCAGTGGGCCCTTGTTGCTGATGGCAAGTAATGCGAGCACGCTATACAATGATCGCCCTGTGCGAGGAATGAGCACATTTTACAACGTATCCGAAAGGCAAGCGTCAAGTCTTGGTAACACTTATATGTCTCGGGCTGATTCCGCGCACCCCCTGAGACAACATGTCGCGCGTGCGCTTGATGTGCGCGCGCGTGCGGTAGCAGATTGGCGGTGGTGGTGGTGGTGGCGGCAGTGATGAAGCTAAGCAAACATGTCCTTTTCACTCCTCCTCCTCTTCCTCCTTCTCCTCCTGTGCCTCCTCCGCCTCCACCCTCCCCCTTCCTCGACCTCCTCGTCCTCCCTTGCCTGCCCATCGTCCTTGTTTGGCTCGGGAACCGCGTGCGCAGCACCGCCGCGGGATCGTGCCCATTCCCCTCCTCATGGCTCCCTGTCACTTATGCTTCTGATTCGACAGGCTTACGCCACATCCGCCGACCCCTTTCTTGTGGCTCGTTCCCCATGGTCTTTCCGGCACATCCAGGGAGCGTCGCTTTGGCTTCCTGGGTGCGTCTTGGGGCTTCCATGGGCTGTCACCGGAAGGTACCATCAGGCTTCCTCGAGCTTCTTGCCTCTCGGCGGCCGCCTGTCGCCGTCGCGCCTTCGTCCTCGTCGTCGCGCCGCCGCGCGGTCGCAAGGTCCGCATGCCCCCTATCACTGATCGCTATGATTCTCCTCATCCGCCCCGTCTCGGCAAGACCCCAACATACTTATACTATATGTGCGTCGCCCCCCCAGGGGCGACGCGCGCACCGAGAAATCTTATAGTATATGCGTCGTGGCGGGCGCTTTCTGGCCACACCGCTCGGGAAACGATATACTACAAGATGGGTATACTATATGTTCGGGTCGGACGCGCGCCTCCAAGGAGGACATATAGTACTAGTATGTCCATGTGCATCCGCCCCATCCTCTTCTCCCCCTCGTCTGCTGCTCCCCTCCCCGCCACCCAGGAGGGTCGGCAGGCCCCGTGTTCCCCGAGCCGAGAAAGCCGGCTGCACGACAGCCGAGCAGCCAGCAGATCCGTGCCTGGCGACCATGCCCCCAGCATGCTCGCCCCTCGCCTCCCTCGCCCCCCCCTCTCTCTCCCTCCCTCCTTCCATCTCTCCCTCCCTCCTTCCCTCGATCTCTCCCGCCCTCTTTACTTCCCTCCCTCCCTCCCTTCCTCGCTCCCTCCCCCCTCGTACCCCAAGCTCCTTCGCACTTACCTCCTCCCTTTCTCCCTCCGTCCCTCCCTCTCTCCCCCTTCTTCCCCCTCCCCACACCTCGGCCTGGGGACAGCTCCACCACTCACGCTGTTGCACACCAGGCCTGGCTCATGGAGGAGGAGTTCCCTCGGAGTTTCCTGACGCCCATAGGTCGGTGAGGGCCTACCCGGGAAACCTCCGAGGAACGCCAGGGCTCGACAGGGGGGCGGCGGAAAGCTTCCTCACGTCTCACCCTGCTCGTCGCTCCAAGAGGGGAGCCACCCTGGCTGTTCTCACGAGCCCGTTCGCGCCGATTTTGGTGGGACGTCTCAGCTAGAATTGCCGTTTGGCGCCCCGAACATGTATCTCTTGAGAGCCTCATGGTCGCAAAACGCTGCCAGGGGCATCATTTGGGAGCCCCAAGGGGGAGCCACCCTGGCTGATCTCACGAGCCCGTTCGCGCCGATTTTGGTGGGACGTCTCAGCTAGAATTGCCGTTTGGCGCCCCGAACATGTATCTCTTGAGGGGCTCATGGTCACAAAACGCTGCCAGGGGCATCATTTGGGAGCCCCAAGGGGGAACCACCCTGAACAAGCAATGACATAAACATTAGAAGTCGGCGGTCCGCGCGGACTTCTTAGATCGGCGCTGGACCCTCCTCCCTGGCGACCGGAGCGTGCCAGGTGCGGCGCAGGAGGCGCCGCCAGGGGGCCCCAGCACCGATCCGAGGGACATCCGAGCGGACCTGCGAGATTGTGTGTCTATGTCACCGCTTGCTCCCCTAGCTAGTAGAAGGATGATGATGATGCTGATGATGATGATGATGATGATGATGATGATGATGATGATGATGATGATGATGATGATGATGATGATGATGATGATGATGATGATGATGATGATGCTGATGCTGATGATGATGATGATGATGATGAGGAGGAGGAGGAGGAGGAGGAGGAGGAGTAGGAGGAGGAGGGATGAACATCGCATTTTACTATCAGCACTTCCCTTCGTGTTTTTTTCGCTGTCCGCAGCAGATCCTCACCTACATGCTCCTTCTACCCGTCCTGTGCATGCAGGCGCTGCGGTGTATACCAGCGCTGCGTTGACGCGGATGCTGTGGTTTACACAGGCGCTGTGGTGTACACAGGCGCTGCGGTGCACGCGAACATTGTGTTGTACACAAGCGCTGTGTTGCACATGGTTGCTGCGGTGTACACGTTCGCTGTGGTGTACACAGGCGCTGTGGTGCACGCATGCA